AAAAAAAAAGGTCGTCAAAATTTTTGAATTTTTTTTGAAAGTCCGCCCCTCCCCTCGAGAAAATCCTAGATCCGCCCCTGATCTTTAGCATCTTTTTTTCATGGTGACCATAATTTTGTCGCTACCCGAAAAAATTTAATGATGAGATCAAGTTTGGGCATTTTTGTGGCAATTTTGATGATGTGATCTAACTGCACATCAAAAACACACAAATGATTTTGTTGTTTGCAACTGTTATATAGCTTTGCTACCAAAAAATCTGGCAAATATTTTTTTTCGGCTTACTCACTTCAATTTTCGACCCTGCTTAAGGTATGTTTTGACCATACTCGAGGTATGCTTCGACAGCGCTCGACGATTGTTTCGATCGTGCGCGCTCGGTAAGTTTCAACGGTGCTCGAGCTATGCTTCGAAGGTGCTCGGGGTATATCTCGAAACTCTGCCAGATCCAATCGCCTGCCTGTCTCGGCTATTCTTATTTGGTCGAGCGATGCAATTGTGCTCAATTTTGAAATTCAAAATGAAAAAGGGTAAGGCTTGTTTTTTTAGCGCAAAAATCTTTTTTTTTTCATAAAATTCACTGGCAAATTATTCTGAAACCATTCAGTTCAATTTAAACGGAATTATAGTATAAAGTACATCTTTATGACCACCTATAAAATCTCTTCTTAGAAATATATTCAATTTGAAAAGTAATTTGTGTTGCATTTCGAAACAGAGTTCTAACTGTATTGGCTGACATGTTACAGTGCGAAGTACTAGGTCAAAAATTTGTTTGATTTTGAAAAGTTTGTTTGATTTTGAAATTGGGAGTCAACGTTTATGCATGAGAATTTGGAGTGCATCTGATTTGCCGAAGAATCCGTGATCAAATAACGCTATGTTTTTTTTGGTGTCGGGGAATCAGGAACATACCCAAAAATGTGTTCAGGTGTTTATGCTCCAGGTGTTCAGATTCTTGAGACTCTTGGCAAAGTCTGATTATCTGCTTCCTGGTTCACAATAACATATGGACTCGGTCAAACAGGTTTACTTGGTCAAATATTAGTTTTGGTATTCCTTATTTTTGTTGCTGTTTACATGAAATAGCTATAAACAAGGCCGAATAAACGCATTCACTCAGCCATGATTTATGCCATTTTGTCTTAAAGTCTTAAGAGATCTAGAATAATACTGCGCTTTGAGTGTCAATTCTTCTCCTTAAAACGACGCAATTAAATCTGACTAGCAAGCCCACCTCCAATTATCAATTGGCTCGCAAAAAATGTTGTTCTGATCAAGCTAAACAAGCGAAACTCTAGGTTTTTCTATAGAAGCTATTCAAGCGATGAAACATTGATTTATTTCAAGTTATTTCATAGACTGAATCAGTTCGCGAAAAATTGAAGTTTTCCTAAGCAATTGATTAAAGCTATGAAACTTTCAAGTTATTTCATAGACAGAATCGTTTTCATAGACCGAATCATTTATCTATGCGAGCTATAGAAGCTCTGAAATTTTTTAATATATCAAGTTGCTGCAAAGGTCCAATCAGTTTGCGAAAATCTCGTTACAGCTTACAAAACGTTTGCAAGTTTTCCTAAAAAAATATTTTCGCCAAACGATTCGATCTATGAGATAACTTGAAAAACTTCAACGTTTTTCTGAGCACTCTATTCATGCGATGAAGTTTTGAAACGTAGCGAACTGACAATTGCAAAAGAGCAATGAACGCAAGGACACTGAAAAAAAAACGGATTTGTTTTTTCAAACACAAAAAAAAAACAAAGTTAAAAAAATAGATGGCATTAAAGCTCTTTGAATTTGTAGAACAATTTTGATGGACAATGTTTTGCTAAAATTACCCAAATTAGAGAAAACTGGATCAATAGATGAAAAAACTTTTTGATTCGATGTGAATTTTGGTTGGATGGGCATTGCAAAGACATTATTAATCGAAACTATTTCAGCAATTTATTACATTTATAGTTTGAGCTCAGAGGCAATGGTTTGAGCTCAGAGTTAATTTGGATGATCATTGACCGAAACACTAGCAAAATTAAAATATTAACGCTAGACGCGCTGCATTTTAGGAAGGAGAAACCAGGACTCAACACTCAAGGCGAATTTAGAAGCAGTGAGCTCACAATGAAGCTTAGTACCAAAATCGAAAATTATGGCTAAAATATTAAAAACTATTAAAAAAACTGACATGTTAATATAACTTTAAAATTCCTATAGACTTTGGTGCGGGTTAATAATTGATGGCTTCAACCAGCTTTCAGTCAAGGTTTTGAGGCAATGCACTAAACGATAAGCCTCTAAATAATGAAATGAATCGGTTTACAAAAAATATGCAGCTTGAAACAAATGTAGCTTGAAACAATAAATAATGCAGCTTGAAACAACTAGAGTACAAGAGTAAAACATAGTCAACTGACAGTTGGAAAAGAGTGATGAACGCAAGGAAACTGAAAAAAAAATACTGATTAATTATCCAAAAACCTTCAACTTTTGAATTTCGAAGAAAAAAAGCAGATGGCCTTAAAGCTGTTTTAACTTCCAGATCCTTTTTTGATGGACACTTTTTTGTTGAAATTAACCTTATTTGAGAAAACTGGATCAATAGGCAAAATTTTTATTTTGTTGGGAAATCTGACAAATAATTTCATTTTTCAGGACCTGTACACTTTTGGTGTTCGATAGTGGAGTTTGCCTTCCTTTTAACAATGCAAATGCACTGAACTTAAGAAATCAGAAGTCTAACCGCGAAAAGTCAAAGTTGCGCGTGAGCAAATTTCAAGACTTTTTTCTGAAAAAAAATATTCAAAAATCTGCAATATCTATATAAGAGTACTCTCTACGTTCATTACTCTTAGAAGTGCCAAGTTGTTTCATATACTTTCATATAGCAAATCGACTGGCAAGTAACAATATATCAAAATTTTTCTGAGCATGCTATTCATGTGGCGAAACTTTGAAATATGTCCAGTTGTTTCACAGAGCAAATCGATTGGCGAAAAGTTTATGTTTTTTAGCAAGCTAAGCAAGAACGTTTCATGCATCGGTTTGTAAACAGTTAAATGACCAATTTAGCCGAGTCTCGTCGGCATAAGGTCGCGGGTCGGGTTAAGGTAGCAATCACTATTCTACAGCTTGAATTCATGTTGCTTGAATGGTAAAGAATCAATCCATAAATTCGTTCGTTTGCTCAGATTTCATCCAATCAGAATTCAAGATGACAACTTTTGGGGCTTAAGCGACTGATTTTTCATTTTGGGTGCTATGAATATTGAGACCTATTCGAATGCACCCTCATGGTAATTCACTATAGTGGCGCTCAGTCTCGGCTGGCCCCATACAGCTCAATAGATCGATCCCTAGAGGAAACAAAGTTTTGTAAAATCGGTCTGAATAAAAAAAATCACCCCGATTATATATATTCCTCACTGTCTTCAAATGTCCCAACAATAAAAAAAATCTGAAGAAAAACCAAACAGAGTACAATTGTTTCGCAAGACAACATAATTGCATCAAATTGAAATATTTTTTCCGGTCTTAAACGGAATGACTTTGCAAAAATTGCTTTTATCATTTTTAATATTTAAAAGCAATTTTTTGGCATTCACATGAAACTGAGGTTGGCTTTGAGTCAAGTGAATAGTTGTCTTCCGCAAATATTTTTAATCAGTTAAAGCTGCAAAATTTTACAAATATTGCCTTGATTTACTACAAAAAACTCCTGGGTTAAAACATGAAAAAAGAGTCCCAGGGAGTTTTTGTTAGTGGAATCCAAAATAGAAAAAAAAGCTCCACAGTATGAGACTTATAAACTGGCGCAAGTAGCGTGGAACCCGCAAGAAACCATATATTTGGTCGACCTGAAGAAAGGTTGACAAATTTGTCGAAATTGTTTTGAAAATCAGCCCCCCTCGAGAAAATCCTAGATCCGCCCCTGTACTAATAATTTTTTCCATTTTATTGGGATGCGAGTTTTAACGCACATAAAGTGTTTTTTACATTTTAAACTAAAGTTGGTTATTTGTTCAATTTGTTTTTTTTTCTGCTCAACTTTGATTTTTTATACTGTTTTTCATATGACTCAATTTCTCAAACTATAGTTTATTTCAGTTGTATTTTTGGTTTCGCTCAAATTTTATTCACTTAATAGAGTCCACTTTACTTTAAACTTGAAATTCTAATAATTTCCCTACTGAATCGCATATTTGATTGCAGTTTATCGAGGAGATAAACTCCAATGAATTAAATTGTGATAAAATAACTTAAAACTAAATAGACTTTTGTGAACTATGAAAGATAATACGTGACTTTTGATTTGCTTATCAGCTTTTTTCCATTTGTTTTTATTATGTTCTTCATAAAAGTACTAATGAAAAAAGCCGCCCATGAGCTTTATAAGTTCATCGTGTTTTTCAAAATTGTCATAAGAATTTCTAAAGTGTATATTTTATTGAGGCAAACAAAAAAACTATATGACTATAGTAAAACTGATCTATAGTAGGAATTGCAGAAGCATAAAATCATTCATCATGAGGAAGTTTTGTATGATAATTTCTAATTTCATTAGCGAATGTAGGGCAAAGGGCGGGATTCGACCCCCAAGCCAGACAAAGTACCCATCTTTGGCACTATTCAATTTCTAAAGGTGCCGATATTTCGGAATTTCTAAAGAGGAGTGTGCGAAAAAAAGGATTTTTGCAAAAAAGGTCTTTACAGGGCTATTGCTTTGAGGCAAATGAATGGTCTAAATTGCTGGATATTTCTGCACATAGTTGAAAACAAAATTCTTTGTTTTTCCAAATTGGCCCATACCATGCCAAAAAGTACAGCTTCAAATCTCATCATTTCTCATTCTTCGTATTTATCTCAAATTATGAATTGACTCTGCGCCAAGAAAAAGATTTCAAAAAAAAATTAAGTACTCAAATGGTGTTTGTCAAAACATATAAATTAAGAGCTAAAAAAAGACAAAAAACTTATAGGCTACTATGCTGACTTACCCGAGAGCTCTTGATACAAAAATAAAATTGAGCCACTTAACCAAGTTGAGAATCTCAGATGCTGTTATATTTCAGAGGTAGCTATATTCCTAAATTGATCTGCTATTGATGCGGGGCAAAAAAAGAGCGAGGGTTCTTGTTTATGGTCTACAGATCCCGCAAGATCACACGGGCGAGGCAAAATAACAATTGGATACAAATACTTTTTCAAATAACGTACCTTCCAGCTACGCACTATTTAATGAAGCACAGTAACGTGGCGACCATACAAGAAATTGAGTCAAAGCGGGAAATAAAAATCAATATCACCTTCTTTCACATTGAAAAGGCATCTCTCAAAAACGTGTTTAAAATCGTGAAATTCGACAAAATTTAATCTCAATAATAATGAGAAATTGATTGATTTCTTGAGGCAGACAGGAAATTTATGTAACCTAAAATATGCTAAGGATTTTTCTTTGTTAGGAAAGTTCAAAATGGGAAAGCATAGATTTTGGTAATCTAGTTATTGGCTTATGTAAAAAATGAAAACAAGTTGTTTTAATGAAGACTTACTTGACGGAATAATGCAAAAAATATGTGCGCGGCAAATACTTTATCGGCATTTGAAGAATCATTATTCGCGTTTTTTCAGAAAACCGTGAAAAGATCGAAAAATAATCGAAACCAAACGCGTTCAAAATCAAAATCCAATCAGGTCAAATTTTTTTCCACGGGCGATTCTAAATGCCCAAAATAAAAACTGAAATCCGCGGCTCAATTTTGTGGTCAATAACCAAATCAGAACAAAATTAAATACCTGAATTGTTATTTGACTTCAAAAACTCAAGCATTAGATGTATATTTGAAACTGCTGAATTCGCTTTAAAATTTCAAAATAAAGTGTTCAAAAACGCAAGTGAACTCAGAGGCAAATCGGGGATTCATAATTGTTCCAAAAACAGAGGACGATTAACTGCTAAAAAGAAAATAGCAGATAAAGTCAGTCAAACAAACTGTAGAAAAACGTTTAAAAAGTTTGATCAACCGAAAATACAAGAGCTTATTAGCCTATATATAACGGTATGTATATTTTGATTATCGATTAAATTCAAATTCAAAAGTCCGTAAATTTTTGTCATTAATTGACTTAAAGTTAGCAAAGAAAAGGTGTCGAGTGAGATTGCTTAACCTTACTTATATATATATTTTTATCACGAATATCACTCAGTTTTTTTAAATAATTTATCCAATTTTTCATTGTTCCGCGCCAGGTTGCTAAAGAATCAACCGATTTCTGTAATGTGAGTTTTACCATCAACACAACTCTTCAGTGCTTCAAAAATACAATAGGTTCGAGGTTTTTTCATCTTGAGTTTTCTCAAAGCTGTATGAACAGCATCAGTTTTATTGTTGTTAGTTGAAGTAAACATTTTCACAATGTCAAATCATACAACTATTTTTCCTTGAGTGACTTTGTACAAGTTTTCAGATTACAAGAAATTTAAAACATCAGAAACGTCTTTGAAAACAAGGTAGTTCAAAATGCATAAAACTTTCACAAAATGCGCCAAATTACCAATTGCAGTTCCCAGCCGCATGTAATAAACTTCACCTAACTGTGTTTTCTTTGCCTTTGGTCATGATAATGTTTGTGCAAGGTTTGGGGTTTTTTGTTGCGCAAATTATGTGATTCAAACAGTCTTTTGGAATTGAATTTTTGAAGCGATTAGCCTATTCTTGTATTCTTGTATTCGTTTTTAGCGTTTTGTCTGTTTTTATTGGTGTATAAGAAAAATTAAAAATTGTTCTCATTTTATTCGGATATTTGTCTACGAAATTTAGCCTCTTCCACGGAATTCAAAAATATAAACTTGTTGCTTTGATTTTGAAAACTTATAACAACCATTTTTTTCTGTTTATGTAATGAATGTAGAGATTGTCTTTCTATTGTTGTTGAGCTGGCTTTCGCGGTTTTCCTGCACACATTTCTAGTCCAATATTCTTCTTATTTTGAGTAAATGAGCATAAAACGCAACTTATTTATAGCAATTAGCATGAAATGATCTAGTAATCCACAAATTGATTTATGATGTTTGATGTCGCTCTCGTTGTTAGCAATTCTGGTTGTCAAGTTTGTTGTTGACTCATTGCCAATTTTGCGCATTCATTACATCGAGCCAAATGAATCAACCACTTAGTTGAACATAATACTTTAGTTCTAATACCATCTTTTTGGGTGAAAATACAAGTGAAAAAGCTTCCAGTGTCAAGAAAATTGAAGGCGCCATAAAGGTTAGTACAATCAGGGCTTGGTAAAAGTCAATTGGTGACCAATTAATTGCAATTAATTGGATGCAACTAATTGACTTCTTTGTTTTTCCAATTTTTGATTATTGACAAAATCCGCCAAATAATTGCAACTAATTGAAGGTTTGCAAACTTTGAAATTTATATGATTTTGTCTTTGAAATAAAAAGCTATAATTGATTTCGTAGCAACAGCTTGCGAAGTTGGAAGCTAATTGAGTCAGTGTTTGCTTTTCAGATTGAGTGTGTCACTTTCCTTCGTTGCTTCAGTTGAGAACAGACATGGTCTTTTGGTGACTTACGACAGAGTATTTTGCCGATGAACCTTGAAATGCAGCTGTTCTTGAATAATAACAATCAATTTTGGTCGAAAACTGACGTTGCTAAAGCTATGAATGAGACCCAATTAATTGCAATTAATTGATAATTGACAAAACTTGAGCAAACAATTCAATTAATTGACAATCTTTTCAAGTAATTGACTTTTTGTCTACCAATTGACTTTTACCAACCAATTGTACTGTACAATCCTTTATATTTTCGAACTGATTAGTCTCCCCCCCCCCCTATTGTACCTACTAAAGAATCTCCCCCTTTCTTGAAAAGGGGGGGGGGAGATTGTTACGTAGATCCTGAGAATGTGCTGTTCTACTTTTGTAGGGATTTGAAGATGCAAGAATTCCTTTCATATTCTTGCATATTTTGAATGCGAGAAGAAGGACCATAGTTTCTTTTCGTACCTATTTACGCTTCAACAGTTTTTAATCTTTTTCCAGGGTATCCAACCCAAGAATTTAGAACTCATTAGCTGAGTTACTTTTTCGACAGCCAAGTCCAGTTAACTACAAAAACATTTTCGGACCATTCCTGTTTTCTTTTTTTTGTATAACTAATCGATTCCTGTATTGTGAGTTTTTGCAATCAACAAAACACAAGAAGTTTATTTTCATCTTGATCTTTCTCAAAACTGTTTGAACAGCAGCATTTTTTTTGTTGTTGGTTGAAGAAAACATTTTCACAATGCCGACTTTAACAACTATTGTTCCTTGAGGGACTCAGTATAATTTTTTTAGATCAATTCAAAAACTTGAGCTTTTAGAGAGCATGTTAAATTTGTTTTATCAGAAACCAGCGTTTTTAATTGAAATGCTTTTGGTTTTAGAAATTTTGGTTTTTCATCTAAAAAACGATGCAGGGTTTTAGTGTACATTTTCAAAACTTCTGAAGTCTTCATCTTCTCCAGGAAAAGTTTTGTTATACATGTAATTTGTTTGTAAATATTAATACCTAATTATGTAATTATATATGTAAATATATAAATATATTTGTCGTGTACACTTTTGAAACGCAGGCTACAAATCAAGTATTAATAACAAATACTTTCAATTTTTTCAGATCTTTTTAAGCCGGATTTTAGTAGTCTTTTTCTGTGTCGGCATCTGTTTTGAGCCCTCTGTTGACTATTTAAACTCGTTCCCTGATAATTCTGCGATAAACCCACCTTCTTCTCTTGTGGAATGGCAGAATCTGGTGATCTCTGTTTTTCAAAAAATTTCCCGAACTCCTTTTTATAAAAACGGCACCAATGTCCATATACGCTAGTGGTGCAATTTCATTTTTGAAGACTTCGTTATTTCACAGCTCCTCGAGCTTCTCTGCATGGAAGCGTCACTCCTATCTACACCCCCTGATGGTGGTATGTTATACTCAGAAGAATTCAGTTATTCGCTCTCCTCGAGCTTCCCTGTAAAAACTGTACCCATATCTGCACCTCCTGGTGGTGCTATGTTATAATCAATAGATTTCGGTTATTCGCAACTCCTCGAGCTTCCCTGTAGTGAAACAGTACCCATAACTGCACCTTCTGGTGGTGCTATGTTGAAATCAATAGAATTCGGTTAATCGCAACTCCTCGAGCTTCTCTGTAGTGAAACGGTACCCATAACTGCACCTTCTGGTGGTGCTATGTTAAAATCAATAGAATTCGGTTATTCGCAACTCCTCGAGCTTCTCTGTAGTGAAACGGTACCCATAACTGCACCTCCTAGTGGTGCTATGTTATACTCAGAAGAATTCAGTTATTCGCTCTCCTCGAGTTTCCGTGTAGTGAAACGGTACCCATATCTGCACCTCCTGGTGGCGCTATGTAATAATCAATAGATTTCGGTTATTCGCAACTCCTCGAGCTTCCCTGTAGTGAAACGGTACCCATAACTGCACCTCCTGGGGGTGCTATGTTATACTCAGAAGAATTCAGTTATTCGCTCTCCTCAAGCTTCCCTGTAGTGAAACGGTACCCATATCTGCACCTCCTGGTGGTGCTATGTTATAATCAATAGATTTCGGTTATTCGCAACTCCTCGAGCTTCCCTGTAGTGAAACAGTACCCATAACTGCACCTTCTGGTGGTGCTATGTTAAAATCAATTGAATTCGGTTATTCGCAACTCCTCGAGCTTCCCTGTAGTGAAACAGTACCCATAACTGCACCTCCTGGTGGTGCAATGTTATAATCAGAAGGATTCAGTTATTCGCTCTCCTCGAGCTTCCGTGTAGTGAAACGGTACCCATATCTGCACCTCCTGGTGGTGCTATGTAATAATCAATAGATTTCGGTTATTCGCAACTCCTCGAGCTTCCCTGTAGTGAAACAGTACCCATAACTGCACCTTCTGGTGGTGCTATGTTAAAATCAATAGAATTCGGTTATTCGCAACTCCTCGAGCTTCCCTGTAGTGAAACAGTACCCATAACTGCACCTCCTGGTGGTGCAATGTTATAATCAGAAGGATTCAGTTATTCGCTCTCCTCGAGCTTCCGTGTAGTGAAACGGTACCCATATCTGCACCTCCTGGTGGTGCTATGTAATAATCAATAGATTTCGGTTATTCGCAACTCCTCGAGCTTCCCTG